CAGAGATTTTACTTATGGCTATAACTTTCTTCAGAATTGACCTATCATGATGAAATTTGGCACACGGACACATTAGTACTAACTGGATGTACCTACTAAAATTGATTTTTAAATTCCGAGAATTACGGAAGTTATAAGAAAAAATACAAATTGCGGGGGAGTGGGGGGGTGTATCAGAAAAAATAAACAAACTCGTTCTGCCTAGGGCTTATAGGAACCTTGATACCAATTTTGGTTATCCTAGCTCTTGTACTTACTGAGATCCTTGCGCTCATACAGACAGACGGACAGACGGACAGACGGACATGGCTATATCGACTCGTCTTCTCATCCTGATCAAGAATATATATACTTTGTGGGGTCTGCCACGCCTCCTTCTGTGTGTTACATACATGCGCACAAAACTAGTATAGCCTTTCACCCTTTGGGTACAGGCTATAAAAATAAAATAAGGTGCTAAAAAGTTGTGTCCAAATAATTTGCATAAGTGGAGTTGCTTAAGAAGAGAGTACAATAGAGTCAAACGCACTGGCCTTGAAAAGTTGATGGATAGAACAAACGCTACGGTACAGGCAGTAACAAAACCCGTTGGGAATTCAAAAGACGCACGGATTTCTGGTGCCAAGGTACAGACGCGTAGCTTGGTGGTGGGAGTGGGACCAACATATAATACACAAGCAACAAAGAGGAGTACAGAGATAATACCAGCGAAACGGGAGCTAATGCAAGCATCAAAAAGATTAGTCGAGATGTGCGAAGATTAAAAGAAGAGGGAACGCGACAATGCAGAAAAAATTATGCAAAATATTGAAATATTGCAACAAGTAATTCAATTACTATCGTTAAACAAAATGAGCCGAAAATTAGTGCGGAGAGCTTTACAACAATAATACCAGACTTTGACGGTAGTAGCTTAGTTTAATAATTTCGAAATAAACGCACAGGCTTATGGAGTCTGCTGTTATTTATAATTATGAGGAATTGCGCGCCATATTGGGAAAGGAGTTTGATCGATAATCAGTTTGCAGCGACGATATTCATGCGTATATTCATGAGTTGCGTGGACGTAAAAAACGGAAAGAAGAGACATTCAAAGAATATATTTTGCAAATGAAAAAAATTGCTTCGCTCGGTAATGTGGACACTACGCGTCGGTGATTCGATACATAATTGATGGACTTAATTTGAAAAGCGATTTTAAATACAACCTGTATAACTGTAAAACATTCAAAGAGTTAGAAAGCCTGTATGAAATATACGAACGAGTGGTAGATGCAGAAAAATCGTATAAAGTCGATAAAAAAAACAAGTGTAAGTACAGAAAACATTGGAAAAAAGAGAGGTTGTTTTAATTGTGGGTCGTCCGATCATATGCGTAAAGATTGCAAAGATCAGGCGAAGTGTTTTCGTTGCAAGCAGAACGGACACATTTCGAAAAATTTCCCTATGGTAGATGCCGCCATAAACGTTGTAAACAGCACTAAGCGCATGAAAAAAGTTATATTTACCGATCTGGTGGAGTGTTTGGTCAACAGGACTGGAGCAAATCTTACCATCATGAAGAAAAACATCTTTAGCAAAATCAGCGGTGCAGAGTTGAAGAGCGAGAGCGAGAGTCCTCATCAAACTTCGCAAGTCGGCTGGAGTTGGTGAGCAAAAAGGATTTTCGTAAATTAAACTCCATGGTGCTGAAAGATTGCTTTCCGGTACCCCTGATTGATGATATATTGGAGAAGCTGCAAAGGTCGAAGTATTTTTTGTCACGGATCTGGAGAACGGATTTTTCCATGTGGCCATCGAGGAGCAGAGCAAAAAGTACACTGCGTTTCAATAAAGAAAGCACGAAAGCACAGTCAAATAATTTAGACGTTACTTGCTGGGCAGGCCATTTAAGCTGGTAACAGATTGTGTCGCGTTTAAACAAACTGAAGATACCTCGAGATGTGGCGCAGTGGATTAAATACTTGCAGGAGTTCGAGCTTGAAACAGAGTATAGACCAGGTGAAAGGCTCAACCACGTAGATTGTCTTAGTCGGTATCCACGGTTGAGAGAGTCAGCCGTACAGTCTTATCCATTATAGCCAAGTTGTTAGCCGATAATCCTGCTATATGGTATATGTTTGTCACGAATGTACAGAAAGCCATAAACTCGCACGTTAACACATCTACGCAAAAAACTCCATTCGAGCTATTGTTTGGAGTTAAAATGAATAATAATAAGCTGGATAATAAAGCAGATTTTGGAGCAAGAGTTGCAGAACGATTTTGATTTGCATCGACAACAATTGCGGCAAAGTGCTCGACTTGCAATTGAAAATGCTCAAGAATCCTACAAGAAGCAACATGACAAAAAAAACGCAAAGAAGGACATGGATACCAAGTTGGTGACTTGGTGGCGATACGAAGAACACAATTTTTAGCTGGAAAAAAAATGGCTAGGTCAAACGGAAGGGGCGCATAATGTAAGAAAAATGTCGCAAAACGAAGGTCCGATAAATACGTGCACGAGTGAGGACAATATGAAACTATGGTCATATGCAGCAGTTAATGACGAGGAGCTTGATTCATCTGAGACAGATGAATAGTCAGGATGGATAAGTGTGATATGGTATAGAGCAGCGGTGGGCACGAAATTTTAGTTTGGGAGTCATACAACAACATCTACAACAAAAACTACCGTTTGGGTTATGAGAACATCAAAAACTGCGAGCAAAAAATTAGAAAAAAAAAGTACACCGAAAAAAATTTTGATCACATTTATGAACATTCACTTAGTTCAATGCCTTTGGCACCTAAGCACTTCAGCATGTCAATGGACGTGGTTTTAATAAACTCACCGTCCTGTAGAGATTTTTTTGCTTTTGCAAGATTGTAGCGTACAACAAATGATGCTCGTAAGAGATTTTTCTCGTTATCAGGTTCTTCTTTTAATACACCCTTGGAAAGCGTTGGCTTTAGCTTAGCGACAAGTTCCAACCTTTCTCTATCATTCAACATGCCATATGCATTTTCATGGTGATTAATATAGTGCCGCCGAATATTATAATTTTTTTTTGAACATACCACACTGATGTACTCCCACATTTAATAGCGAAAAAAATACCGCGTCTCAATCTCGGAAATATTAATTTCATTAGCCATTGTTCAGTTTTAAATCAAATATAAGTAAGATTATAAGTAAATAACTTGACGAAAATCATAAAAGTTGTACTGAAACACTATAATTTATAATTTGTCAATACACTTTAAATGTCAGTGCATAAGTGACCGTCAGCGGATATTGCAAATCGATCATCAGTACACACACTGTGTGTATTTTGTTATTGCATCGATCTACTTGTGCGTCTGGCTGGCGACAACACTGCATGTATTTTGTTTTTGTAAACTCTGTCGCGATAGGTTTGTAAGTTCGGTCTTCTACTTGTGCGTCTGGCAGGCGACAACACTGCGTGTATTTTGTTATTGTGTATTGTTATTGATCGGTACTTTGCTTGTGCGTCTGGCTTGTGCGTCTGGCGCCAGTTACCAAAACATAACGGAAAGAGCCCTGGGAGCCCAAAGAGCCACTACGTGCCCATCGCTGGTATAGAGGCATTAGCATCTATGAGTACACCGGTTGGCAGGACTGGCAGCAACGAGGAGGAGAGCAAGAGCAGCGAGTAGGGGCAGTCGTCAAGTAGCATCGTCGTGAGTCGCACGTACATAGTTGAATTGATCTACATATAGAGTTGTACCATCGAGCTGTAATTGTTTATCAAGTAGTTGTTAAACGAGCTGTCGTTAATTTTTGACACACATTTGAATATACATAGCAATACTCACAAATTGTTAGCATTTAATATTAATAAACCATTGGATACATATACTATCTTACATACATAGCACAATGTTTTAAAAAAGACTTTGTGCAAAAAGCTGGAAATAATATTAGAGTATTTCCTAACTTTAAATTATATTTTGGTCGTGCTGCTTTTGTTTCTATCGCCAATTAAAAAACCATATTTCTATTTTTCGCAAATCGGTGAATGCTAATTTGTAGACATAGTTATTGTGATTATATTAATATCACAAACTTTTCATTTAAAAAAAAGCGTAAAAATATTGAAATAATAATAACAATAATTTAAACAAGTAAAAAACCTAAAGTCGGGTGTCCCGACTTTGAAATACTCTGTACATATGTTTACAATAATTATAGAAAATATAAAAAATTAAGAAATTAAAAAAAAAAAATTGGATCGATTTTACCTCTCTCGGTATTCGAACTCATGTAAAGGGTTTATAATTGCACATTTACATAGCAATTGCGTCTGTGTGAGTGTAAGAATGTCTATGCGCGTCTATTCGTGTCTGTGTGTTTGCAGTCAACCAAAGCACCAGCATCAATAACAGCTGCGGGCAGCTCTTGGGCAGCAAATATATATATAACTTATAACTATAACTTTTTGTTAAATCGGTCTATTATAGTGAAACTTGGCATACGGAAACATAATCACTAACTGGGGGTATTTGCAAACGAATGTTATTTTTGTTCTGTATGTTTATTAATTTAAATGCAAGGGTTTATATACAAAATTTGAATGTGCGTAGGTCTAATTATTTTCTAATCCAAGTGTCCAAAAATATATCGTCGCTGGTTGTTGTATGTTGTATGCAGTCGATGTATCGGTGCGTGCATATTCAGCATCGGTTTAGGTAGACGTGGCAGCCGGTTGGTGGTTGTTCTATGCACATGCGCGGCTACTATCTTAACAATAGTTAAGAATAGCTACCTGCGTTGGCTTCATATGAACATGCGTGGCCCATGCGTAGCTCATGATACGGTCAAGTGCGTGTGACATTGACAGTAAGATGAACTTCGGCGATATGGGTCATAGATGAACACCAACAGGTATGCTAAAAGTGGTGGACTAAACTCTTTAATACCCTAATATTTAAAACATTTAAAATGCTAGCGTAACATAACATAACATACAATAACTAGTATTTTTTTCTCTTAGTTTCGCCTACAGCCGTTGTTCCACAATTGTATCAACGACCCTCTACGCTACACGGGCTCAAGCACAAACTTCACTCTGCTGGCAGCAACACATCAAATACAACCTCAACAGGTGGGCTTAAAACCTTGCACGGTTCGAGCACCAATTCTCTTACTAACCGTCGAAAGTCAGTGGGTCACATACCCTTGTCACCACTGGCGCGCACCCCGTCGCCATCTCCGCTGCCGTCTTCCCCCACTAGGTCACCTTCACCATTGGCCTTTCCATTAGTTGGACATCACCCTGGCTCTTCAAATACTACGCAATCATATAGTCCGGGAAGTACGCTCCCTTCTGCTCAGGCAGTTGTAAATACCTGTAGCAAAAAAAACAGTTTTGCTCGTACTAAGTCCGCGGAGCCAAGCTCGCCTCTCTTGCGTCGTGCTCTTTCACCAGATCGATTGCATCCTAGAAGCGCTGAGACCAAAATCTCACCATTATGTTGTTCGCCACCAATAAAACAAACGACTACTAAGCATCAGCGTGTGGTGGCGGGGTCGTGGCGAACCGCAGCTGCTACAACAAATTCTTCAGGTCAATTACTGCCGCACACAAATGTTGACGAATGTCAAAAACAGTCAACGGGGACTTCTACAACTCTTGTCACAGGTAGTGCACCAGTAGCAGCTCTTACTACAGAACATAATAATCTTTCAATCTCACCACAAACACCTGCAACTGTCGAACTGTTGCCACGCATAGCTGAAGAAAAATACTCACCCACATGTACTCAGGATAAAACTAGCTTGGTAGATAGTTTTATGCCTGCCATTGAAGAGAGTGTAGAAAGTGAGGCATCACCAACGCAAACTTTGGAAAATACATGGAAAGGGGCTTTAAAAGATGATGAGCGGTGTGCATGCAACAATACAAAAAGTGATTCGGGTAATGTTAAAAAATTGTGGTTTTGAAAAATGCTTTAATAATTATCATACTTTAGGAAAATGTACAACCCATATGAAATGGAAACCGCTGCAAGGTTGCAGTAAAACTGCTGATGTTAAGCATAGAAAGCACAGTGAAAGTAACTGAGTTCTAGTTTTATTTTATGGTTTACCAGCGCAAAAAACATTATGATTAAAATAAATGCAATAGTAATCTTAAGCGTACAAGAAAATCAATTATATGTTCGTTTCTATTTATAAAGTTGTTTAGGCAAAAATTTGACACGATATTCTGGGAAAGTGCTTCCAGAGAATAACTGGCTCAAATATGCACATCCCTTATTTATATTTTTTATCGCCCACTACTCCCAAATCAAGCACATGCTTAAGAGTTAATTTTTATACGCTGTACATGAAATGTACAAGAGTATATTAGGTTTGAGCGAGCTGAAAAATGTAACAGGCAGAAGGAGGCGTGGCAGACCCCACAAAGTATATATATTCTTGATCAGCATGACAAGACGAGTCGATTTAGCCCTGTCTGTCTGTCTGTCCGTCTGTCCGTCCGTATGATCACCTAGATCTCAGAGACTATAAGAGATAAAGACACCAAATTTTGCACAAAGATGCCTTATGTGTGTATTCTATACGAGTTTGTTTTATTTTTTTGATTTTCCCCCCTAAGGAGGTTTTCCCGATTTTTCATTCGTATAATCGCCTATATCTCGGAGACTATAAGACCTAGGAACACCAAATTTAAGTGCAAGATGCTTTATGTGAATACGCAGAAAATGGGTATTTTGGAATTTCCCCTCTCCCATGCAAATTGCGATTTTTTCTAACTCGTAATTCTTGGAATTTCGAACTAAAATTGCAAATACCCCCAGTTAGTTATTATGTGTCCGTATGCCAAGTTTCAATATGATAGACTGATTTAACAAGAAGTTATAGCCATAAATATATTTGCTGCTGCAGCGCTGCTCAAGCGCTGCCCGCGTCTGTTGTGGATGCTGGTGCTTTGGTTGACTGCACACATGTTTACACAGACACGAATAGATGCGCATAGGCATACATACACTCACTGTTCAATTATACACCCTTTACGTGAGTTCGAATACCGAGAAAGGTAAAATCGATCATTGAATTTTTTTTTATTTTCTTAATTTTTTTTATTTTCTATAATTATTGTAAACATATGTACAGAGTATTTCAAAGTCGGGACACCCGACTTTAGCTTTTTTACTTGTTTTTTATTAAATTAAATTGAATTTAATATTTTAAAATGCTCAAGTTTCAGCAAACAAAATAACAAAATTTATAAAAACAAATACAAATGACTTCTAATAATATTTTGAAAATTATTTTTTATAAGTAGTGTGTTAGGCCACCTATCCAAAACTGTACACATTCGGGTTGGAAGGGATGCATAGAAATTAGAAAAAAAAATGTTACCAAAATCCAGCTCCAAGCTAATTTGATGGCTTGGGTAAGTAAGGATACTCGCGAATATTGTTGTCCTTATTATCCAATTGGCGTGTTCAAACATTTTCGATGGTATTCAAATCTGGTTAGAAGGGCGGCCATCTTAATAGCTCCCCATTTTTGGGTCTTTATATATATGGAACCTTGGCAGAAGTCTAAAAAGGTTGTAAAAGTTCAGAAAAGTTCACATTTCAAAGTCTTGGTGAAAACCAAGGAGGTTTAGATGACGCAGACGATATGACACTATTTGGGATACAGACATCGAAAAAAGCATTAATAGTGACATAGAAGAACTTGACGGCTATGTTGATATCAACCGCACTATACAAAAAGGACCAATTAGTTGCTAAAATAAGTTCGTTAAGCAAAGAAAAATTTCCTTTGCGAAAGCAACGACGTGTTTTATTAGAATTAAGTGTAGGAATAAAGGTGTGATTTGAAAATGATAGGGAGATTTCTAAAGTAGGGTGGTAAGTATCTTCAGGCACTGACAGGGGTACAGACCTAGAGACTACAGCGCTACTAGGGACAGTGACATAGACGAGATCAAGCATTTTGCTAAGGTGATTAGTTATAGAATTAATTTGAAACAAAGAAAGGTCCAACAGGCAATCCAAAAATTCATGTTCTGCTGAGGGTACCAAATAATTGGACTCATTGAAAAATGACCATTCTATGTTAGGCAAATTAAAATCACCTAGCACAATAAATGCATCTCTGTCACGGAGATGAGTGGAAATTGCATTAATACAAGTTATATGTTGCATATAAACTTGAATATTGGAAGAGGGAGGTATATACGAGCAAGTGATGTAAAGAGCAAAAGACGGAAAAGTTACTTTAACAGCAACAAATTCAACATCATTTGGCACATCACCATCAATGATTTCCGACCGAAGGTTGGATTTGATTTGGATCAGTACCCCTCCACCTCGACGACTCGGACGATCATGACGAAAAATACAAAAGTCATCTGATAAAATTTCATTATCGGAAATCGAAGGATTTAACCACGTTTCTGAGAACGCAATAATATTAGAATCAAAAGAAAAACTGCTAAGAAATAAATTCCCGAGCTTGGACAAAAGACCCCTAACATTCTGATACAGAATATTAAGCGAAAAAGGTCGCGAGTCTAGTTTTTTGAAGCCATACTTGACGTTGGTTTCGAAGAAAGTACTAGACTGTAAATCAACAGGCAGTGACGAAACTCGTTTTTTCTGCTAAACTCATGGACAATCATATGTGGAGGCCAAAATTTTGGGTCACAAATAATTGTAAAAGCCTCAGGCGGAACACTTATTTTAAACGAGGCTATTTCACGGGGCTCAGCAAAACTGAACTTCGAAATAGATACACTAGCCGTCGCTTTACTGGCAATATAGGCTGCTATAGATTCACAAGTGGTATCGGAAGATAATCTTGATACAAAAACTATAACAGTAAGAGCCGAGGGCTGAGGCAGAGCAGCAACTGACGCACGTGATGAGACTGCGGGGGAAATTGTGAGACTGCGGGGGAAATTGCAGAAAATTTTATGGAGGAAGCTTTCTTAGAAGCTTTCGAGGCCATTACTATCTTGCTTACTGCAGGAGGTTCAATCAAAGGGGCTAAGGTGACCTGAGCAGGAGAAGGCGCAGGGGAAATTTCAAAAATATTTACAGGGGAAGCAGACAACGATATTGTTGGCGATAGATCAAGATCTAAGCAAAAAGCAAAGAAACTGAGCGGCACTAAGATGAGCTTTTAGGTAATGCGAAAAACAGCAAACACAAATTTTGTATTGGGTCGTGCTGATTCACAAATGACATGAACAAAAAGACACGACAACGACATAAGATTACAACAATAATGGAATTCTTAAATACATGTTGCCCAATTCCACAACAAAAGAGAACGCTACAGTCGAGCAAGCCCGACAGTAAAAAAGCCAGTACTCTCCACAAAAACGGAAAATTAAAAAAAAATTAAATTATTAAAAAAAATGAATTAATTAATTAAGTAATTAAATTTAATTAGAAGACATGTTTATGTTCAGTTTTAACAGCATACATTTACATCACGTGCCTATGCGTGTTTATATGCAGCACAAAGTTGAACCAAAGCAGCAACAACAACAACAGCTACAGGCAGCGCTGCCGGCAGAGCTGCAGGCAGCGCATGAGCAGCGATTTTATTTATGGCTATAACTTTCTTTACAATTGACCTATCATGATGAAACTGGATGTACCTACCAAAATTGATTTCAAAATTCCAAGAACTATGGAATTTATAAAAAAAAACACGAATTGCGGGGGAGTGGGGGGTGTATCAGAATAAAAAACAAGTAAAAAATCTAAAGTCGGGTGTCCCGACTTTGAAATACTCTGTACATATGTTTACAATAATTATAGAAAATAAAAAAAATTAAGAAAATAAAAAAAAATCAATGATCGATTTTACCTTTCTCGGTATTTGAACTCACATAAAGGGTGTATAATTGCACATTTACATAGCAATTGCGTCTGTGTGAGTGTATGTATGCCTATGCGCATCTATTCGTGTCTGTGTAAACATGTGCAGTCAACCAAAGCACCAGCATCAACAACAGACGCGGGCAGCGCTGCAGCAGCAAATATATTTATGGCTATAACTTCTTGGTAAATCGGCCTATCATAGTGAAACTTAGCATACGGACACATAATTACTAAGTGGGGGTATTTAGTTCGAAATTCCAAGAATTACGAGAGTTAGAGAAAATCGCATTTGCGGGGGAGAGGGGGGAGGGAGGGAAATTCCAAAATATACATTTTCTGCGTATTCACACAAGGCACTTTGGACTAAAATTTGGTGTTCCTAGGTCTTATGGTCTCCGAGATATAGGCGATTATACGAATTGAAAATCGGGAAAACCCCCATAGGGGGGAAGTGGGGAGGAAAATCAAAAAAATAAAACAAACTCGTATAGAATTTGGTGTCTCTATCTCTTATAGTCTCTGAGATCCAGGTGTTCATACGGACGGACAGACAGACAGACAGGGCTAGATCGACTCGTCTTGTCACGCTGATCAAGAATATATATACTTTGTGGGGTCTGCCATGCCTCCTTCTGCCTGTTACATTTTTCAGCTCCCGCAAACCATGTACATAGTATAAAAATAAACTTGACCTGCCTAGGACTTAGGGGAACCTCAATACCAAGTTTGGTTATTCTAGCTCTTGTACTTCCTGAGATCCTTGCACTCATACAGTCAGACGACAGACGGACATGGCTATATCGACTCGTCTTGCCATCCTGATCAATAATATATATACTTTGTGGGGTCTGCCACGCCTCCTTCTGTGTGTTACATACATGCGCACAAAACTAGAATAGCCTTTCACCCTTTGGGTACAGGCTATAATAAAATATAATTGTAAAAAATATCATTCGTTTTTTTTTTTAATTAATTGATTTGAGGAGGGAAAAAAGAATACAAACTTGATCCAACCAGGTCAAACTTGATTCTTATACCCTGTACCCAAAGGGTGAAAGGGTATACTAGTTGTGCGAATGTATGTAACAGGCAGAAGGAGGCGTGACTGACCATACAAAGTTTATACATATATTTTTGATCAGGGTGACAAGCAGAGTCGATATAGCCATGTCCGTCTGTCCGTCCGTCTGGACGAGCGCAAGGATCTCAGAAGGTACAGCAGCTAAAATTACCCAACGTGGTATACAGGTGCATATAAGCCCTAGGCAGGTCAAGTTTGTTTTTTTATTCTGATACACTTAGCCCGCAGGTGTTGTTGTTGTTGCTGCTTTGGTTCAACTTTGTGCTGCAGACATACATATATATAAACACGCAGAGACACGATTCTGATGTAAATGTATGATGTTGAAACTGTAAATGAATATGTCTCCACTTTTGTATATATGTATTGAATAATTTGTATTTAATTTAATTAATATAATTTTTTAAAATTAGTGAAAAAACTTTTTTTTTTTAATTTTTGCCTTTTTGTTAGGAGTTACAGGGTATTTAATAGTTGAGCTCGCTCGACTTTAGCATTCCTTTCTTGTTGAAATTTGTTCCTGTAAAAAAATATGTTGGGCACAAAAGGAAACTGCGTCAACAGCGCCCAACCCAAAGGGGTTCAAATTTGGGCTCAAGTATCCTATGTATCATAGTGTAGGTGCGCACTAAGAAGGAGCTTTGACAAATTCTAGCTCCTAAGAAGAAAAACAAGCTCCAAAGTTTGGTTGAAAAATTGGATTTTTGTCAAGCGACTTTAAACATGGAAAGAAAAAAAACAACAGATACCCATACTCGGTTTTCTAAAATTCTTCTTGGAGCTTGTGTAATTTTGCTCTGGTTTCGCAGGTGCGCCGTTCTGTTCCTGCCTCCTACTGCTGGCCGGAAATTCAGCCGTCTCTTGTTGTTGAGCTTTAAAACACTGGCATGACAAATATTTATGAACATACTGGGCGACATCCCGATACAGGCCCTGCCAGTGGTAGCGGTGCGACTAGTGCACATGAGAAAATGTGCAGCAAATGAGCGATGCGCCTGTACTGCCTTCCACTCTGCATTACTTAGTAGGGGTTCTTTTCGGGGCGCTACAGGCGCAAATGAGCGATTTGCCTGCCGCTGGCACCTACGCTTCGGCGTTCACCTAGCTGGCCACCTCGTGGTATTTTTTTTATTCTTCATTTTTATATTGTATCTTAATCTTATTTTCTTAACCCATTAAAATCCAATGACGCCGACTTCTGATAATATCGTATGTAATTACGGACAATAGTTCGATAAATTGTTTCAATGAATGTCTGTCTTTATATTACCAATCGACAGCGGTTCAAACTTGTATCTAAACTGGTAACCTTTCTAAGAATTCATAATTACCGAAGGCCTAACATTTCACACTCGGCGTGGAGAATTAAGTTATTATTGCCGGCAAAATGCCAAGTTTCACAATGAGAGGCCGATTTATTTACTCCGATTATGTGATCATGTGAGATGCTTGTGTTACATATCACATCGAAAACCCTTTTGTAAAGGTATGACTAGAGCAGTTTGTGCGTATTCTGAGGCAGTAGTTTGGTTGGCACCGTTTTATATTAGGAATCATCAGTATGATCGACTATTTCCATTTTTTGGAAAGTATCTATCCCAGCTATTGCATTGAAAATCTTGCAGATGTATGAAACCGGCAATTCGATGATCATTTTCTGAGTTATTGAATCAAAACCAGGTGTTTTTCCGGGATTTAATTGCTCTTCAATAACTTTTGCAATTTCACTCGCCTGGAATTCCATTGGCTCTACTGTGTTGGCACGTGATGAAGATGCAAGTACAAAAGAGTTTGTAAATGAACTCGCTCTTTCTTCGTCACAACGAAGCCAGCTGCCAGGGGCTCCGTAATGGCGTAACTTGGAGCGCTTAGATTCCGGTGAGCTCTCCACAGTGGATACTTTATGCTTGTGGGAGAGAGTTGCTCGATGCACTGGAGTTGGGAATGCGCTTCTTCTAGCTTGAGGGCCTTGGTGAGCCTGCGAGTTGCCTCTTTCAGTCTGTACTTTACAGTATGAGATTTGTTGGATTACCATTCCCGTCGCAGTCATCGCTCCAGGTGTTTAATTTCTTGTTTTAGTATGTGAACATACATATTTTTTGTGGGGTTCTTTTATGCACCTCCTGTGCAACAGAAACTGAAAATTGTAGATAGGGAGGAATTCGTTTCTTTTTAAAGTTTTTCCCTCTGGTTCGACCTCTAAACAGTCCACTACGGTTTTTTTGCCCGTTTTATTTTTTGGCTAAAATTCGAAATATTAAAATATTTGTCCCTCCCCTCTCTCCACCGATACAGCATTTCGTTAATGCTGTCAAAATTTCCAAAGCTACATAAATAAAACTTTGCACACGTAATCTACAAGGTGTGTTCCAAAGTAAACAGGACTTAAAAAAAAAAAAAACAAACAGAACAAATGGTTTTTTCGGCAAAATCAATTTATTTTATTAAAATCTAGCAGGTCTTGCCCGTCTTTGCTTATAATTATAAGTTTATTTACTATATGATATTCTTTTTTCGACGCTCTCTAAAGTTTTTTAAAGAGTTGTTACGACTACGCTTTTCCTCTTGGGCAACGCCGGCTGGCTCATCGGAATTCTCCTTGGGTGTGTGGTTCCAACCCTATGCCCGCGTGAGTCGTACAATAACCGATAACACGGTTCCTCCATCGATAAACAAAATGCCATCACTACAATAAATTCGACGCGCAATATACAAAACCGAATTCAAAACGTAAACAAACCAAAAAAAAACTAACATAAACTAAAAGAAACGTAATGCGACAAAAAAACAAATAAACGGATAACTCCCTCAAGCCATCCGTACGAATACGGATGACTGTAAAAGGAGATTATATACGTGCGGACGGACAGAAATTGTGACATCGGACAACTGTGTGGGATTTAGCTGTTGATATCCCAGGCGTACCCACCCTGCCTGTATCCGAAGGAAAAATGTTTCTTGGATACCCTTAATTTGGGCCGTGCTTGGGCTATTCCATGGCAAAGGTGAGTCTCCCGCCCCTACTGATGCTGCTTTAATGCATCATCACCAACGGTGCGACCATTAAAATTAACAATTAATTTTCAGTTTATGTGGCTACAAACATACATATATTTCAGTGTGATTGAGTGTGAGTGCAAACAATGTAAACATGGAACAAGAAATTTTATATAAAAACAAAATAAAGAAGGCTTGCCAACGGCCAATGCGGTTCTTTATGTGCGCCAACATGCAAGTATGTTTATGGCAAATAAATATAGATATATGTGTATGTGTATGATAAAAATATGCGCGGTACAAAAAATTATAGAAAAATGTCTAACCAAATCCTAACGAGAGCTCTCGACGGTCATGGGCGCAATAGAAATATAAGAATACATATAAAACACTGCGCGCTACTGCAATTGGCAATCTTCGTACAAGATAAGTGTGTTTAAGAGTGTGAATTTTTTATTAATTAAATAGAGCGCCAAGCTCTGTCTAGGTGCCACTTTCTGCCTCGTTTTGGTTTTAATTATATATGTAGATATTCTTTCTTTTGTATTATCTTCCCCTTTTTTTTTTTTTTTTTTTTTTTTGCAGAAACTTCAATGGGGCGGCGTGTGGGACCCTGCAGGCGCAGCCCATACAAAACGACACAACGTAAGGCGCGCGGGATCTCTGCCTGATGTTGCTGCTCAACCGCGAACAACAGGCACGGCGCGTGGCCAAGGAACGGACTCACCGGCTTTTCTATCCTCCGCTGCTGATGGCGCAGACGGACGTGTCTGCTGTTGCGTTGTGGTGGCGCCGCTATTGCTGCTGCTACTTCTTGGGTGGGCGCCTTTGCTCCGGCTGCCACTGTCGTTGCTGCTGCTGCCGTTGAAGACGCTGGTGCTGGATCTGCTGCTGTCGTTGAAGACGCTGGAGCTGGATCTGCTGCTGTCGCTGTTGCTCCTGCTACGATGCAGCTCGTGCTGCTACTTATGACGGCCGCTGCAGCTGCTGTGTATGGTTCCACCGCTGTCCGAAAACTTGGCGATATGCCGGAAAATCTATATGCCAAGGAACAAAAGGCATTTAAGCACTGGTCGGCACATTTAAGTGGATATACAGGTATGCATACATCGGCATTAGTTCTGCCTTGCATCTATATCCTTATGCTCACCTTCGAACGGCTTCTGGTTCTTCCTTTCCTTTTGCAGGTTTCAGCACGGCCTCCAGTTCACCAAAAGAAAACACTGCCTCGTGGGTCTGCACCGTCGCCCCAAAAACAGGAATGGCGTGTTGCGGCTTGCCTTTTATAGGCCGGATGTCGTATGCCTGCGGATTTTTACGTCCTTGCGCATCCGTTCATCACGGCCTTGACGTTTCCCCACTTTGAGGTGCCATCGGGACACAACCCTGCGCCTGCGCGGCTGCAGTTGCCACCATGGTGCCTCGCTCGGTACCGCTAGATGGCGCTGCAGTGCCTTTATAAATTCTTGGCGCCTTCCGTAGCGCTGCCACCTTTTATTCTTCGTGACCAGCCCGATGCAACACCACCGCAAATATCCAAGTGGGCGGACGCTCGTGCCCCGAAGTGATGTTTGCGCGCATCAAACGGCTGGTGTTGTTGGTGTCCTCTGCTTCGAGTCCGGCGTTGCCTCGGATGACTACTACCGCGGCGCCCAACGTAGGCCACACCCACTCTTGATCTTCAGATGAGTAGCTCTGGCTGCATCCTCCTCCCTATATTCATCCATTCTGCCTTAGGACAGGCGTCACACTCGGATATCCTTTGCGTGGAATACCCCCAGCAAGTTCCCTTGCAAATCTTCCAGCTCGTATGCGTTGGTGCCGATGGATTTCCTTACGCGAGCTTTTAGAAATTTCCGCGCGAATTTCGCATTGAACGCGCGGCTGAAATCACTCAATGCAAAGTTTCGCCGGTATACCTCCTGACCGGGCGCTAGTCTTAGCCGCCGCGCACGCCGGTTATAGCGAACGCTACTGCGCTCATACGCCGCATGCAATTGTGCCTGGATTTTCTGTTGCAACAGGGATTGCCTGTCTGCTGTACTCAACGCTGCGAATTCGTGCTCGTCTAAGGACCTTAATTTCCTCGCCAATCGGTACTGCGAACCGTGCAACATCATATGTCGGCCGAATAGTGCGAAAAAAGGCGTTACTCCAGTCGCAGAATGCACGCTGTTTCTGATGGCCACTTCAATTTCCGGAAGGTGTAGGTCCCACTCGCGGTGATCCTGCCCCAGATACGCCCGTATCGCGGACAGTATAGTCCGGTTCACCCTTTCGGACGCGTTGCTTTGCGGCGAATACACCGGTGTCCGCAGATGCTTAACACCGTAGCCCTCCATCATGTCTGCAAACTGCTTGGACGTGAATTGCTTACCATTATCGGAGTGTATGACTTCTGGAACGCCGAACGTATGGAACACTTCGTTCACCAAGAAGTCGACGACGCTCCGAGTGGAGGCCTCTCGCATCGCCTTCAGGAACGTGAATTTGGTGAAGTGATCTACCACTATGAATATGAAGGCGTGCCCCTTCCTTGATCGCGGATACTTGCCCAAGAAGTCTATGTATAACTTCTGGAACGGCCTCTCCGTGACGACTTCTGCACCAATTCCCACCTGCATCCCGTAATTGGTGGCTTTCGTCTCTTTGCAGACCACGCATTTTCGGACCACTTCAGCAACGTCTTTGGCCATTCCCGGCCAATAAAACAGCCGCCGCAACCAGGACAACGTCTTCAACACTCCTCCATGCGTTGACGCTTCGGTATGGGCCTTCGATATAAGCATGCCGGTTAGCGAACGCGGAACCCACAGTTTCCACACACTGCCTTCGAGCTGATCTTCTAGCCGATTGAAGGATGTCTTTTTGTAGATCACCCCGTTTTCAATTTTTAAATCAGGTAATTTATCTTTTTGACTTTGAATTTCGCTAATCAGCTCCCGATACTCCTCTGATTCGAATTCTGCGGTTTCGATACCCAACAGGTCTCCTGGGAAGAAATCCAACTCCTCTAAAGTTTTGGCTTCGGTGCTCCTGGACAGCATATCCGCCACGATGTTGTCGGAGCCCTTCCGGTGCGTGATTTCAAAGTCGAAGCCCTGGAGCAGCAACGACCAACGAGCCAATCGCCCGGACAAATCCTTCATGGACATCAGCCATTTCAAACTGGCGTGATCGGTTATGACCGTGAATGGCATCATTTCGATGTATGGCCGGAATTTTTGTATCGCCAATACCGCCGCCAAGCACTCCTTCTCGGTCACCGAGTAGTTCACCTGGTGCTTGTTCATCTTGGCAGAAAAGAACGCAATGGGCCTCTCGTTTCCCTGCAAATCCACCTGGAATAATACGGCTCCGACGCCAATATTGGATGCGTCACATTGTACAAAAAATGGGCGTGAAAAATCCGCGTGTACCAGCACTGGCGCAGATGTGAGCGCCTTCTTCAACGCCTCAAATGCTGCAATCGCTTCGCCACCGAGTGAGAACCTACCTCCCGATCGCTTTTTCAAAGCCTCAGTGAGTGGAGCCGCTAAGGTGGCAAAATCTTTAATAAATCGCCTGTACCACCCGGCGGTTCCTAAGAAAGCTCGAACCTCCTTTACGGACCTTGGCACCTGTATGCGCTGTATCGCCTGCACCCGTTCTGGATCTGTTCGAAGCACGCCGCCGCCCACGATAAATCCCAGGTATTTCAACGTTTTAAAGCAAAACTTCGACTTTTGTAACCCTATCGTCAGATTTGCCTTCTTGAGGCATTCAGCTACTCTCTTCAGGTACTCCAAGTGCGTATCAAAATCAGCCGCGAAGACTACCAAATCGTCCAGATATACTTTAACGTTGGACCTCAGTTCATTCGGTATGACCTTGTCCATCAGCCGGCACAACCTTTGAGCGGCGTTACACAACCCGAAAGGCATCATGCGGAATTGGTACAACGGTCGCCCTGGTACCGTAAAAGCAGTGCACCTTCTACTGGACTCCTCCAACTCCACCTGCCAAAACGCCAATTTCAGGTCCACACTGGAAATATAATATGTCTGATCGATTCCAGATAGGATTCCCTCCACGCAAGGTAGCGGATAGGCATCTTTGACTGTCAGTTTGTTCAACTTGCGGGCATCGAGGCAAAAGCGGTTCTTGCCCGGCCGTCGCACTATGGTGGTGCGGTTACTCCACGGACTATCGCTTACCTCGATGACGCCAAGCGCCAGCATGCTGTCCACCTCATCCCACACAATCTTCTGCATGGCGGGTGATAGAGGGTAGTGCCTGTCTTTCACTGGTTCTGCTCCGCTGACCAATTCAATTCGGTGAGTCTCCAAATTAGTCTTGCCTAATCCCGCTTCTTCGAAGGTTAAAAATTCTTTTTTTACTTGTTCCAATTGCAGCTTTTGTTGTTCATTCAATTTCCACATATCTGGTTCCGGCCTTACTTCATCCTGGTCCGCATAATGCGCCACTCTATCAGCTAGCAATTCATCGAGGACAAGTCTTTTAACGTCTGGCTTTTCCGGAGGAATTAATAGTGGTGCCAAATTAAACAGCCGCCAAAAGTCGATGCCGAAATACGCGTTCTGTTCGAGTGATGGGCATACGTAAAATTCCACTTCTTTGGTCTCTTCTCGATACACCACTGGTAAACGCACTCGCCCAATTACGGCTCTGTCTTCACCGCCTGCTGTTTTAATTATCGAAATGTAATTTCTGGGCACCATGCCAATCTCTTTCAGCAGTTCCAGACTGCCCTTGCCTAGCACGCTTACCGAGGCCCCGGTATCCAGCAAACCGCGTAGCACATGGCCTCGTACCAGTACTTCGGCAAAAATCCTCGGATCTGCTGCTCCTTCGCGTCGCACTGCCTCGGCTACCAGCTTCTTCGTCTGCCTTCTCACTCGGAATCGTGCTCGGGCCTTTTTAACTTTGGCTGTCACCATCCTCATCCCATCTAACTGATGTTGGGCAAAAATTCTATTGCGCGCCTCCAGATATGCCCGCATCTTTTCCTCGTACGGTAGAAATTTCAACTTATTACTAAATGGGGTATTTTTCTTATGAAATTCTTCTTTCAGGACCGCTCCGCTGTCATCCTGGTGGGCACCTGTGTCGAGCGCGATTCGCCCACTTGCTCCGCACTCCGACGGCCGTTTCCCGTGCAATCGGGACAGGTTGGACTATAGGTGTCGGGCCTGCCACACCTATAACAGAAGACGCGCCTTTCCGGTGACATGCAGTCGCGGAAACTATGGCCGGCTTGTCTGCAGTTCCAGCAAACTAACGCCTGTTGCGGACGCCTTTCCAAACGCGCCTCTTCAACTACGCCGAAATCCGCCGACTCCTCGCCGTTAGTGTCGTCGACCAACTCCTCCACTGCCGGTGGACGGTTTCCGCCACAAAAAAAGTGTGCCGCTGCGTGTTGGGAACACGCCTTCTCGCCGCTGGACCATAGCTTCCACCTCTACGCATTCGTCACGTAAGTGGTCTACCGTGTACACGCGCATCGCATACACATAACGAGCTAGTTCTATTTTTAATCCTTTTTTTATATATTTCATCATCTCGTTTTCAGATGGTGCTGTGTGGAGACGCGACGCCAGTTTCCTCATGGCATGGAAGTACTCCTCAACGCTTTCGCTTGCCTTCTGCCGTCTTTCGCGCAATTGACGCATGCGCTCGAATTCATCGGCGGCGCCTTTAAAACGGGACAGCATGCTTCGTTTTAGTTCCCAGTGTCCCAGTGTACTGCTGGTGCTATGGACGGCCTCGGAGGAGTGTGCATCAGGCCACCGGTGGAAAAACCTACGGCTCCTTCTAGGTGTTCCTCCAGATCATCATTTCTGGCAGTTCTCGACCTTGTGTTATACGCCCGCGCAGAATCCTTCTCCATTTCAATCCAAAAAAAAATACGCTCTGTTTTTTTATAATATTTATTTATATTTTGGATTATGAATTGTTCAGCTTTCAAGCAGGCCCCGAAGAAAAATTCGTATTAATTGGATAATTGTATATATGTATTCCAAACAATGAAAATGTTTGCAAACGCCCAAAACAACAAAAACAAATGGGCAAGAAAATATGTAGATGTACGTTGAATATGTATGATGGATAAATAAATAGGTACAACAATAAATAGATAAATATGTGAATTGGAATAAATATGAATATAGTAGTAAAAATAAAAAAAACAAATCTTTAAATAAATTCACGTCCAACTTTGCACGGAAACCAAAAAAAAAATATATACGCTCAACCACAAGACAAATGTAACATATGTATATGCACCAACGTAACCAAAAAGACTTAATAAAATGTAAGCAATAAACAAACAAATTTTCTTTTAAACTTCTGTATATAGGGGCTGAGACTCACACTCCGCCGGAACCCAAACACGGCTCCTATAATATCTACGCCTGTACAGCTGCCCTACGCCACAATCCTGCTATATTTGTTCGCTGCTACATTTATCGCCTTGACGGCGATGAACGACAGCCAACAAATTAAATGGTTGCTTCTTGACACCCAATTCTGTTTTGTGCACCATCTGCTCTGGCTCACCGTGCGTAGCGGTGCATCGCAGGCGACTTTCCTAGTCATCCTGGGCCACCGGTACTCTACGTCCACCAGGCAAACACGATGACACCACGGCGACCGTGCACAAACGAATTGACGCAAGAATTACAACAAAAACACTGAAACGAAATAACAAAAAAAACGCGCATTGGAATCCCCCCATAGTACCCCTTGCCTAGCGTCGTTCCAAATGGCAGTCGCAAACGAAGGGCTCATACTCGCTCCTTCGTGACTTACTGTCCATGTCACACACGCTTGCAGTTGGTGCTATAAGGGATTCCGTCCCTACCATACCGATCGTCGGCCCCTAGCCATCGGCTTAATTTATTTTTTTCCTATCTAAATTCTCAGCCTGCGTACGGCGGCTGCCTAGACTCCTCCCCAAAAGTGGTACAGGGCCCTAAACAACTCCACCTACTCCTTGGCATTAAAAATTCAAACATCCAAATTGGGCGCCATATTGTTACGACTACGCTTTTCCTCTTGGGCAACGCCGGCTGGCTCATCGGAATTCTCCTTGGGTGTGTGGTTCCAACCCTATGCCCGCGTGAGTCGTACAATAACCGATAACACGGTTCCTCCATCGATAAACAAAATGCCATCACTACAATAAATTCGACGCGCAATATACAAAACCGAATTCAAAACGTAAACAAACCAAAAAAAAACTAACATAAACTAAAAGAAACGCAATGCGACAAAAAAACAAATAAACGGATAACTCCCTCAAGCCATCCGTACGAATACGGATGACTGTAAAAGGAGATTATATACGTGCGGACGGACAGAAATTGTGACATCGGACAACTGTGTGGGATTTAGCTGTTGATATCCCAGGCGTACCCACCCTGCCTGTATCCGAAGGAAAAATGTTTCTTGGATACCCTTAATTTGGGCATCATCATGCATCTATGCATCATCACCAACGGTGCGACCATTAAAATTAACAATTAATTTTCAGTTTATGTGGCTACAAACATACATATATTTCAGTGTGATTGAGTGTGAGTGCAAACAATGTAAACATGGAACAAGAAATTTTATATAAAAACAAAATAAAGAAGGCTTGCCAACGGCCAATGCGGTTCTTTATGTGCGCCAACATGCAAGTATGTTTATGGCAAATAAATATAGATATATGTGTATGTGTATGATAAAAATATGCGCGGTACAAAAAATTATAGAAAAATGTCTAACCAAATCCTAACGAGAGCTCTCGACGGTCATGGGCGCAATAGAAATATAAGAATACATATAAAACACTGCGCGCTACTGCAATTGGCAATCTTCGTACAAGATAAGTGTGTTTAAGAGTGTGAATTTTTTATTAATTAAATAGAGCGCCAAGCTCTGTCTAGGTGCCACTTTCTGCCTCGTTTTGGTTTTAATTATATATGTAGATATTCTTTCTTTTGTATTATCTTCCCCTTTTTTTTTTTTTTTTTTTTTTTTGCAGAACTTCAATGGGGCGGCGTGTGGGACCCTGCAGGCGCAGCCCATACAAAACGACACAACGTAAGGCGCGCGGGATCTCTGTCTGATGTTGCTGCTCAACCGCGAACAACAGGCACGGCGCGTGGCCAAGGAACGGACTCACCGGCTTTTCTATCCTCCGCTGCTGATGGCGCAGACGGACGTGTCTGCTGTTGCGTTGTGGTGGCGCCGCTATTGCTGCTGCTACTTCTTGGGTGGGCGCCTTTGCTCCGGCTGCCACTGTCGTTGCTGCTGCTGCCGTTGAAGACGCTGGTGCTGGATCTGCTGCTGTCGTTGAAGACGCTGGAGCTGGATCTGCTGCTGTCGCTGTTGCTCCTGCTACGATGCAGCTCGTGCTGCTACTTATGACGGCCGCTGCAGCTGCTGTGTATGGTTCCACCGCTGTCCGAAAACTTGGCGATATGCCGGAAAATCTATATGCCAAGGAACAAAAGGCATTTAAGCACTGGTCGGCACATTTAAGTGGATATACAGGTATGCATACATCGGCATTAGTTCTGCCTTGCATCTATATCCTTATGCTCACCTTCGAACGGCTTCTGGTTCTTCCTTTCCTTTTGCAGGTTTCAGCACGGCCTCCAGTTCACCAAAAGAAAACACTGCCTCGTGGGTCTGCACCGTCGCCCCAAAAACAGGAATGGCGTGTTGCGGCTTGCCTTTTATATGCCGGATGTCGTATGCCTGCGGATTTTTACGTCCTTGCGCATCCGTTCATCACGGCCTTGACGTTTCCCCACTTTGAGGTGCCATCGGGACACAACCCTGCGCCTGCGCGGCTGCAGTTGCCACCATGGTGCCTCGCTCGGTACCGCTAGATGGCACTGCAGTGCCTTTATAAATTCTTGGCGCCTTCCGTAGCGCTGCCACCTTTTATTCTTCGTGACCAGCCCGATGCAACAGAGTTCATTTTCCAAATAGCAAATATACATATCTTCGTTACACACCGGGCGGACTGCCAGTCCTGACTTAACTGTGTGCTTCCTCAGCACGTTGTACGCACGGTCGAGTTATCCCCGAAAAGTCCGACGCGGGACATTTAATTTTGATTTATAAATCGGGACGTCTCGCCACAATTGGAGCGTTCGGCAACGCTGATATGTACATACATTTAAATTTTTCATGCAGGCGTTATCCGCCTATATACATACATACATATATAAGTATTTATTAAATTTCTTAATTCCACACTAATTTGCGTTTTCAATTCCAAATATGATTGTTGTGAATGTAAAAGGTGTGTTTCTGCTTATGTAAATCGCATGAATAAACTCACAAAATAGGCTTAACGATAAATGACTCTTAGATTTGTTCAGAATACATTTGTAGCGTTGTTAGCTAACACTAAAACGGTAAGTCGCTGTAAATAGACGATCAGCTGAGATGCTAGAGATGGGCATGTGTCGGATGCTCTAGCACAGAGCATCAAAACTATCGATAGTTGAATCCGTCGATACAATCAATAATTCCATCGAAGTTTGAATGCAATTAACAGAAAATTTAAATAATAACATCTTATAATTTATTGAGATCAATTAGAACAAATCATATACAAACATACATATGTACATCTGCCCGCATTGCGAAGAAGGATATGCGTTGGTCCGCTTTCGGTTACCGACGGTAACTGTAAACTTTTGGCATTTTGCATTTGAAATTAACAGGCGTAAATGATCAAAACGAAAGAAGAAGCGCGAGCCAATGACTTGCAGTTGTTGTTGTTTTTCGTTTTAAAAATTTGATTTAAAACCATAGAACATTTATTACAATCAAGCAACAGTGCTCGATTGTCCAATACATACGAATGTACATACATGCTATATATGTATGTACACAGGCATACATACATACGAATGTACAATTGCATGCATGTTTCTCTTTACTTTTGCAACCGTACGTAGAGAACCGCACACATAAACACGAACTGTTGCTTGTTCTGTGTGTGAGTGTGTGTATATGATGTCCCCAACTATTTGATATTTGCGTTCTTTGTAATTTGTTGTTGTTGCATAAAGTTACTAATGAAAACCCTAATGCCAAATGTACTAAACAAAGAAAAAATTACTTTTAAAAATGTTAAATAATTTGTAATTAATTAACATTTCTTGCTCTGTCAGTGCAAGACGAATGAACATACATACATACATAGATGTGCACATGTACATAGATGTTTTTTTTTGTATTCTTTATTATGAGTTAACTGTATAGGATAGAAGTGGAGATATAAAAAAAAAATTAAAATAAATAAATGTAACAGTGGAAAAGAAGTATAAGAATTGAAAATTAAAGATAAGGAAAAATAACAATATGCAACAATATGCAGGTCCAGGCGGTACGACCGTTAGGCATTGCTTCGCCCGGACGAACACCCGCTTATATAGCGCTTCTCTCCCGCTCCTGTTTCCTGAGCTTGATCATGACGGAGGCCGCAAAGTTTGCGCTCGCAGCCCACGAATCTTCATTAAGAAGCATGTTGAACACAAAGTTCGTCGCAGTTGGAGGGGTGCCGATTATCGCCTCCAGTCTCCTTCTGTCCGCTTCAAACCTTGGGCATTTGAAGGCTACGTGATTTGCATCTTCCGATATCCCTCTGCAGGCAGGGCATTCCGCACTGAAGTCGTGCACGAATTTATTGAGATAACTTCTGAAGCAACCGTGGCCGCTTAGAAGTTGGGTTAGGTGGAAGTCGACCTTCCCGTGTGTTCTGTCGATCCACGATGCTACGTCAGGAATGAGCGTGTGGGTCCACCTGCCTTTGGACGAGGCATTCCAGCGCTCTTGCCACTTGCTGACTGTTATAGTTCTAGCCGCCGCCCGCGCGTCTCTGCGAGGCCGCCCATCTGCAAAACTGTGGAGGTAGCTCGCTTCCAGGACGAGGAGGAGATCGTCCTGAACCCGCTCCACACACGGAGTGCACCCAGACGGTATG